AAACGCTCACAGAGTAATTACGATCATAAATTCGGATGAACAAAATATTATCCATATTTATGTTAAGCACTTGCCATTCACTCGGACAGTTGTCCAATAAAAGAGCTGTTAACGTTTTAATTGCTCGTAATCACGCTATTAACTGAGCAAGTTCTTTTTATATGATCTCTGTAAATATTATAACACGTTCATTATACACGAGATCAAATAAATATCAGATGCCCCATGAATAACAATAAGAGCTCCCCTTAATATAAACGGATATTAGACGCAACTTCCGCTGTAATTCCAGGTTATTTAACATGTTCCTTCAATATATTCCGGTTAATGACTGTTATGATACGGGTACGTCTCGCTCCAGAAGCGAATTCTGCGAAGACAAAGGGGAACAAGTGTTCCAAAGATAGCAGACAATAGCCGGGTGCCACCCTTGTTGATAATAACACTTTTTAGTTCACAAACGTTTGTCAAAACGTATAAACAAAAGTAAGGCTGCACCTCGCGGCTGGCTGTGGGTGTACCTGCGCGCAGGTAATGGCGGCGCCCACAATGGCATTCCGAGCATCCGAAATGAATCAAAATTCGGCGCAACAGCGATGACTAACGCCTCGGACCCTTCTGATAAATTACAATAATAATGCCCTCCTCTATTGTTGTTATTGGGGATGATTTCATTAGGATGCGCCCGCGCACCTGCCCCACTACCCTGGGCAACGATCCTAAACGTTACCGTTAACTGTCAAACATATGATTAGTGTTGCTAGTTAATTGGGTACAAAAACTACCATCCGTGACTTGAAATTCCAAGTGTGATAGCAGCGGCAGCGGGGTCGCGCGGGCAGCGCCACGGAATTAACAAGTGTATCCCTAAATGTCATTTATGGACAGGTCAGACGTGTTTATTGGAGTGAGCCAACAAGTCGTCCCCACTAAAACGACTGGTTTCATTATTTGTACGCAGCGGCGACCTCCCGCGCCGACGGGAACAATGAAAGTGAGAGAGGGCAGGAATGCAGGCGGGGGTGCGGGCAGGTGCGGGGCGCGGGGAGCGCAGGTTCCCGGTTCCCAGGCGAGGAATGCCAGCACGAGCAACAAAGCCTACCCGCCGCCATTCACCCCGCGCCCGCCCCGCGCCCGCCCGCGCCGCTAGCGGTTCGTCCCAGACACGTAATTTTTCGTGACTTTCCCTTAAGTAGCTTTTACGATGCCGTGAATCGGTACTCGATACGTTCGATATTCAAAAATCGTCGCGTGCCCCTGTTCGTTAGCCCGCAAAAGGTAAATTCGCTTTATTTTTACCGACGTGATGGGCTAATAAATTGTGTACGAGTTGCGGAGCGCACTCCAGGGAATTCATTATGAATCGCCGTGGCGTTGGGTCATGCGACTTTATGTAATGTAGCGCAAAAATAATGTACATACTGTGTGATTATAATAAGTGTTATTGTTCCATTCATACCGACCAGTCGAGGTTCAGGGTCGGGTGTCGAATAGCGAACAGCTGACTCTTAATTATCGCTATTTAAATAATACACTTTCCTACAGCCGTAACTGTAACAGTAGGCTTACTTGACCACATTGTCATAAATTTTAAACAATAGGAGTCAATTTACATTCAAGTTACATTAATTAGCACATTTTTTAGAATTCCTTTATATAATTCTATGAATTCTGTGATTTGTAATGACATACATAATAAAATATGTGCCATAAAATAGAATAGACAAAATATATTTAATCATGGGATCATACGATACAGTAAAAAATCGACAAATGTAAATAATATTTTGATAGTCGCATTTTATTCAAAAAAATCATCAGTACTACGAACTGGTCACTTCATTTTCCCGATTTTTGGCGATTGGGTAAACCCCCGTAGCTCCCTCGTCCTTCGAGTAACTAGCGTGATCTCACATTATGTTATAAAAAGACCTCCGAACCGTTGATAACAAATGTTTGCCAGCGTTAATATTATGGTCGAAACATTCAAAAATGTCACAAACAAGGAGACTGATGTCGACTTTTACGAGTCAAAGGACGGTAACGATATTTTTATCGGGAACCACAGATAACACAGCAGGTGGAACACAACCTTTTTATTTGAAAACTTTTTACTTAATTTGGCTATCGCGTCAGTGTTGCCACTTATTTAACTGGATGATTCATGTCAATCATTATCTGTCTGTCTGTCCGTCTGGGAATGTTTTATGTAAGTATAAACAGTATGTATGTTGTTATCATAGTTATGTAAATAAATTCTAATCGACACCGGTTGCTAAGGGTCCGTGTGATTAGGTATACTATTTATTCGTTTTTGTCTGTATCCCGTAAAGAAACTAATCAGTAGTCATTTTCAGAAGAATAGGAAAGAAATAACAAATTTCCACTCTTCTGGACTTGATCAAGGCAATCCAATGAAAGTTCATCATCAACTGAATCGTCACAGTCCACTTACGTACTAAGACGAAGGCTTTAAACATTAAGAAGCTTTGGTACAATATCTACGTCTGACAGAATTAAAAATCGAAGTTAAAAAATGTCCAAGTTCTTCAGAGAGCTCTCGATGAAGATGAAGGGAACAGAGAGAGAGAGAGAGAGAGAGAGAGAGAGAGAGAGAGAGAATCAGGTCTTTGGGAGACTCAGAAAGACAAGGAGTGGTAACAAAGTCCGTAGGTATTCTTCCGTCACCACGAAGCTATTCTGTTTTATACATTCCCACTACAATAATAACACATAATTCCTATAGATATTACTACAATCCCTCATTGATTATCGAATCACAATACTTAATATCTAAGGGTGACACGTTAGATCAGCTGAGCGGCGCGTGCGACGGTCACCCGACCGTCCAGACAGTATTGATGTCATCTGTTGATATTTGAGACGGTAAGCACAATCACTGTCTAATCGATTACTAAATGGTACTCTGTGATAATGGAGACATCTCATAATTTCAAATCGGCAACTTTTAATGTGATAAAAAATATTGCAATGATTGTTGCGAGTTGTAGGGTTCTATGATCACTATTACAAGTTATTTTTAAAGTTTTTTTTTTTGTATTGTAACTTTCGTGAGACATACTAAATAAATTATTATGTTTTCGGCTTACTCACGTAATAATTCGAATAGGAACTCGACTAGTTTTTTTTTTGTTATAACTTTATAAGAAATCGTTGCCCTACTCTAAGACCCTCTCCTGTGTCGTGGGTGCATTTACAAACATACAAGTTCACATACACACGACACCCAGACCCGGAACAACAATCTGTGGATCAACAAAGAGTTGCTCCGTGCGGGAATCGAACCCGCGACACGTTGCACGGCAGCCAGTTGCCCGTCTGACGTACCAACCGTGTCGTCATAAATCGTCATAATCATTAATCTCATATTGTCCTAATGCCTCTGTTTGAATGAATAACAGTTGGTCATCTTCTTCTCATATTTCTCTGTCGACTTTTTGTAATTGAGCTGAAGAGTGAATGGGAAAGTGCTCGTAGTCACTGCCCGATACATTGACGGGATCAGATCCACACCAGGCTGGATTCCGCTATCCATAAGGCTTTCCACACCGCCAGAGACATAAATGATGCAGAAGGGTGGTCACGGCCCTCAGCACTGAGGAAAACGAATTGAGGAGTAACTGAAACTATACTTCTGTAGAAAAAAGAAGCAAGCAGGAATTTGAACGACTAGACCAAGTTCTCACTTAGGCCAAGAAATGTAATTTTCCTCTCAATCGAATTTTGTACGAATCGAATCAAATCCCTAAATCGCAGGCAGTCAAAATTAAATTAGGTTTCCTTATAAACGGGTGTGTTAGTGCTAAATTGACATAGATTAAGATTTAGGGCCGATTTTTCTGACGCCAGATAAATTTTAACGGAAGAAAATTTTCATACTGAAAACTGACAATTTAATTCTACAGTAAAGAATTAACTAATGATTGAAAAATCGACCCAGTTGACTGGGAGAAAATGCCATATGGCATTAAGTACTTGTTACGCCTTAGGTACATCTATTGACAGAATACTAAATACTAAACTGTTTATTTACACCAAAAATATCGTCATCATCAGCATCATCATCATATATGTATCGGCATAAAACAGTTCACTACAATCACCACGCCTGGCAGGCGTGTTGGCGAAAACGAACAGTGAAAAAAATACCAACAACTAATTAAAAAAAGGAGTTTAACTAACCCCAAAACGCAGGTTGTAAACCATAAGTTAAACGCGAAAGCCTGTATTTAAGATAATCACTCGTGTAATAAGTACACGGACTTTACAACGAGAATATATTTCAAAGAAAATAACAGTGCAAACACCGTGTAGTACCATTTACTGGTAGACTTTAAAAATAAAGTACCACGCAGGAGCCACCACGCGCCGTGGTACTAGGTAATACAAAAATGTTCTGGACTATGAGGACAAGACAAATATGAATATAACGGAATATGTCAAAGACAAAATTAGGTAGTTATTGAGAAAAGAGCTTTAGAGCAAAAGAGAGGGATGAAACTGGATTTTCCGTTGCTTGCAAAACGCAAGCAAACGACTCCACAGGGAGCCGTAGCCTAACACTGGAGGGCCGTGTATAACACATACCGTGCTCTGTACATGTCATTGCATACAATACATAGCGCACTGTGCATATCATTGCTTTGCATATAGTCATACACCACGCCGACCTCGGTGCAACTGAACTCTACAATAAACATGTAACTACCTACATAATGCAGTTTGTAAATGTAGTCAACTCTATAACTTTACACACATTTCGCAACTTCTCTAAATTCTGATGTAAGTTACCGAAATTAAAATAACCGTAGCGTAATTACGCTACGGTTATTTTAATAATTATTAAAAGAAAAATCCAGAGTTAAAAACTTCTTCACACGAAACTTATCCGTTCGTGGAAAAGTTCGCAATCTGAGAGCTTTCCATCAATGTCGGTGATTCGGTTTCCCTGAAGGCTGGGAATGTTTATATAACCGCACCTGGTACATCGTTATCATCAGCTGTTACGTTGTGCCTGCCGAAGAACTCCAGGGACAGGGCGCAGGGCACACCGGCGGCGGCCGACAGGCTCGCACAGCCCGCCAACAACAACAACACCACTAAACACCTCATGTTCACAAGCCACTAATTAAAATAAAACAAAGTTCTCAAATAAACTCGACAGTAGTGGTAGACACTCGCGAGCGCGCGTTCGTCGTGTCGGCCGGAGAGCGCGACGCGTGCTCCCTCATCGGTGCGCCTTCCCGGACTGACGGCTCGCGCCCGCCGAGCCAAGCGCGACACAACTTTTATTACAACTCAAATAAAATCACAAGCTTTCTGAATTCCGTAACTGGTATCAATTTAGCGATCGGATAATTATCTAAATGACGTCATGCATGGTCCGTGAAAAATTTGTAAAAAGGTGCCAATTCGTAAATTTGTTGAAATGCTTCGAGCGTTGCGAATTATCGAATTTGAGTCCGAATCATCGAATCAAATGTGTCTGTGATTGTGAGCTTTTTATATGGCTGTAAAGTGTAGTAAGAAGTGTAGGCATTAGTTTTTGCGTGTTGTTTGTAGCGCTGAGACAGTTGGACGAGTAGCGTGGTGTCGCGGGCTCTGCGGCGGTGCGCGCGCACTCATATCGAGCGTCGCCGGCCACCAGTCGCTCATCCGCTGCCAGACATGACGGCCACCATAATGCTCCCTGGCTCACGACCAGCACACCACACTCCGCACTCCACAACTAAATAAATAACTGAACAACAACTCGCATTGTCTCCGATTGAGATGTCAGCCGAGTGCAGTGACAGTAGTCGACCTACACGCTACACGCGTGTTCGACGAACTTGTTCCGAAAATACTACAACACAAGAGAATATTTTAACACACATTATCATATTATCCTTAGTAATCAACTAAGAGATTAACATAAACCCATAATAGTATAATAGTAAGGCAAGGAACTTTGAATTAATTAATTTAATATCTCAACGAAACACTCACAGCCCGAGAGTCGTTAAGTTTTTCTCACAATTAATATAAAACAATTGACAAATTAACCATGAACTCAAGAAAACACGAGATACAGCAATGTAATTAAATTTTATTTCATCAAAATAATCAAGTTAACAACTGTGGAACGGTAGAATTTATAGCTGCATCATAAATAGTTTATCTTTCATCTGCATAGCTCACCTAATGTCCTGAGATATGAGTTACATAATGAGCCAGACATGCTACGAATACCGAACACGATAATTAAATGTTCCTAAAGGTACAATTTCCAATGTCAAGGATGAGAGGAGCGACCAGTGCTGCATACAGAAATCATAGAGCAACACTCCGCGCCTCATCTTTTAACCTTTTTTGTAGTATTAGACAATGGTGCAGCGTCGAAACTGACCCATTCCGATGATGAATGCGTGGCGATGGCATATTTTTAATTTATCACCGATAGATAATCCAGGTAGACTGTTCATTGAGGCTCTTTGCTCGCGTCGCTCGCCGCCCGCCGCGCCACTATTGTTGCTGTGCGACCGGTGAGCGGGCCGAGCAAGGCATAGGCTGTAGCGGATTACGTTGTACTTACAAACAGTTCTCCTTGAGATAAATGAAGTACTAACATGTTATGCACACGAAATCTATTATGTTTGTTTCAGAGCTGAAATCAATAAACGTAGCTTACGATTTTTTATTATCCTACTACTAAAATATATTAGGTTAACCTTGTAAGTTCATGATATGTATTGTCGATGATATGTAATTTAATTGAAGTTGGTACTCCAATTGACAGATTATCGATATTTTATTTTGTTGATTTATAGTCTCGTAGCCCCGTAGCAATGAACTACGAGTCTTTGCCCACATTTTAAGCAGCGTGTCGCAAGGTAAGTTGCATCATAGATGATAATCAAAAATTCTGAAGAATAATATTGTTAACAGATCATTATTGTTAAGGGCAATACTTTCATGTGCTGTACTTAAACTAAGTAAAAACGTGGAAAGGCTAAAATAAATTTTCGTTTACATTAATTGAAATGACTAATAGAAGACTTCAACACTAGACTTCAAAACTTGACAATCTTATGGCTTGCACCCCCGGTGTGTATATTTATGTGGACCCAAACTACAGTCCGCACCGGCTGACTGTTACTGGTAATAAAAGGGACGTCTCATTTATTATTGACAAATATTTCGCGCTGAAAAAACTATTGTACCCTAACGGAAGGCGCCACATTCTAAACTTTATTGTATTTATCATATACAATATACGACCACTTTGGCGGCGAAGGCTTTTATGGTATAAATAATAAAAGACAGGAAATTATATCGATTCTTCAGCCATTGCAGCTCGGGGCGCAGACGGAGGCATCTCGAGTGCGTTTATGTCTTTTGTATGTAAGTGCGCCGGCGCATCCTTAGATGTATTCAGCATTCTTTGTGAATGACTTCACGTTCACAATTACTGCGTAATGTAATTCTGTATTGAATGGAGTAATGTTATTTTGTAAATGTAATGTTTGTTTTGTAGTTAAATGGTTACGTTTACGTTACGTTACGTTAGTAAAGAGTAGAAGTTAATTCTTAAAGTTGGTTTGTGACAATATTTTTAACACAAACCATCAAGTTTCAGAACATTAAACCTTACTTGAAGTTATGATTCCAAGTTACGCGACTAAAATAAAGAACATGACTCATTCAAGCACAATTCATGGCAAACATCAACTTTAAACTTAAATGTCAACTTTATTTTTGTATATTCAAATGAACATTTTAATTTTGGACCGCCCAACCTCTTTTCCGACCACCCCAAATACCCCAATAAATTCTAATCAAATTAAACGTTTCCCATATAATATAATACATTTGAATCGCGTGAGACGTGTCGCTTCATGTCGACACAAGTCGAGGCGATTAGCACTGGCCGGCAAGCGCATAAAAACTTTTTGAACGGAAAAAAAATACGTCTGAAGAAAAAAAAGCACCGTGCACAATGGCCGGTGATACCGTGAAAAATGTTCACAAATAAAACAAGTGTTAGATCACCCGGGAAGCCGGTTATACGGTCCTCAATACGTGTGAAACTTATGAACTATTGATTTAATAGGAATGCTTTCTGATTTTCATTTTTTATACGGATTGTACGTAGGGTATTAGATACGTCTGCTGAGCGACGGCAGTGGTTGGATTGAGAAGGATGTTTAAATGTTTGAACAGGTTTTTTTATGTTCTTTTTATCTTTAAATATTTCCTTTTAGTTTGTTGGAGACAAATGTTTGGAACGTAACAAGTACTGTTAAATTATCATTATTAATGCAAATAAGTAACAAGAACCTACACTAAGACTGATTATCAAAATCTTCAAAATATCCCGGAAAAAAAAAGAAAATTGTAACGCGAAACCTTATCATTCACTCAAACTCCAGCTTTTCATGGCTAATTAAACAGTCCTCGTTAAGTAGCAAGCTGTGTGGCACCACCACGCATTGGAACACGCCTCGTCATCATTTACCTTCAAACACAAGCCTGGTGAGCTCACAATCACCCCACAATGCTAATGGGTTGCCCACAAACCTTACCTGATCACTCGCTTACTCAACAACTTTCAACCAATTAATCATTCCAATACTCCAAGCTTCAATTTTTGACAACTAAAGGAATTTTAATCGAATTCAATACATTGTAAACGATTCCCAGATTCGAGTGATTCAGAATCGAATAGTTGCTCGATGAATGGAGGTTTTATATCTATTGTGACGATGATTTTCGGTTTTGAACGTTGCACAAATTAATTAAAACGAATTCCTTTTGATCCTGCTGTTGAATTTCATGATTTCACAACTCTTAGTTTGTTTTTTTAGCAGACGGATCACCTGACCTGCAATCGGCGTCGCCCATGGACACCTGGAACACCAGAGGCGTTACAAGTGCGTTACCAGCTTTTTCGGTATCACTCCGGTCGAGCCGGCCCATTCGTGCCGAAGCATGGCTCTCCCACACGTAAACATATTTTGTTTATAACATTAATAGTAAAAGCGTACACCGTATCTGAAATGAAATTCAGAAACATATTTTTATTTAAATTCATGGGTTTATCTGAGCTCTTGACAGCAAAAAGTTGAAAAAAAAAACAACAAACCACTTAATGTTATTACGGTTTCCCAATTTGCAAAAACAGTTAACAAATTCATCAAATGAATTTAAAAGAAAACTTGTCTATACAAATATTATTTAAAACAGTATATCATTCTTAAATATTATAAGACATTTTAACAAAACAATTTCAATAGCACTCGAAGTGCCAGAAAACAAAAGTAGTGCGCTGGACAACAAAAGCTGGCGATCGAACAAAAAATATATTATTACGGTGAACGTTTCCAGTAAGTACGTTGGTGCACTTTAACACAACAAAACCAGGACAAAATGGCGGCAAGGAAATGAAATCGACGGTATTATTGAACTGGGTGGGCTGTAAGTGAGATTATAACTTATGACTTTTATACATATCTGTAAGATCTGATCACGAATTAAATTTCGTAGATCTTTTTGTTATCAGTCCTCCCAGTAACTGTCTACGTCTTCTATGCTGGTAAATAAGGAAAAAACACTTTGGATATATTTTAAAATAATGCTAACCAACTTTTGATACAAATAATGTAAAGGCCAAGTTTTATTAAACATAACATAACATCACGCCTTTTATCCCCGAAGGGGTAGGCAGAGGTGCACATTATGCCACTGTACAATGTAACACCCACTTTTCACTATTTATGATATGACTCCCATGTAATAGGGGGTGAGTTTTATTAAAATGATTACAAATCAATCCGCTCTAACGCTACTCTTTTAAAGAAGCACCCTGTATACAATCAATAAATAAGTATTTATTGTTCTTTTTAACCGACTTCAGAACAATTGAATTGCTTGATTAGAACTTTGCACCTATGTAGATTATAAGTAACAAAACGGGTATATGTAACTTTACACTGAAAATGATAAAATAATAAAATAAAAACTGCGTTTAAAAAACCGACTTCAAAAAACCAAAATCTAATAACAAACAAAAAGTCAAAACTAAAAAGCAAAAAATAACTATTATTAGTGCTGATAGATTACCCACCCACTGA